TATTATTCACCTTCCATGCAATTTGATCACACCCTTCCGTTATCTCGGAAATATTTGCCGTAACGTCGTCTATCACGGTCCTACTTTGAACTCGGCGACAAAGAATGAATTTCGCGCGCTTGAATTTGTTGTTGGCCTCTTAAGGAAACCAAAACGTATATTGGAGGTTGTATCGACAGATGTTTGTGAACCTATTGCGCCCGCAACATCTGATGGAATGCGATACTATGTAAGTTTCATTGATCTTTTTTCCCATTTTGCTATTTGTTACCTAATTTCGCAAAAAGGTGAAGTAATAAACAAGAGTACGTTGCCTGTGCTGAAGCGAAATTTGGTACAAAAATCGAACGTTTGAGGTGCGATAATGGATAGGTTTTGCAGCCTGTCAAATTTTCAAAAAAGTCAATTTTCAACTGTCAATATTTGCAACAGTTGAACCTAGGTTAGGGTATATCACAATAATCTGCTCAGAATTTGACGTAGAATCCGAATATTAAATAATATACAGGGTATTCAATTTAAAATAAGAAAGTTGGAGCACGACCAGCTTTTTTGAAACACCCTGTATATGCAAAAGTGAGTTTTTCAAAAAATTTAATTCTAACCATAAATTTTTTATTTGGGACACTTTTTCTAAAATGTCAAATAAAAAAGATAGAGGGGGTGACATTTATAACCAATAACCCTGTACAGGGTATTTGATTATAGTTGGCACCATACCTACAGCCTTTACTATTTGAGATAGAAAAAAATTGTAAATACAAAACTTGACAGTTTTTTTCTATATTTTCTTTTAACGTTATTAAAAAAATCAAAATCGTATCGGAAAATGGAGAAACGTAGACAACTTCGACTTTTTTAAATGGAACACCCTGTATATTTTGCGATAAAATGAAAGACCTTTTCTTCCTGATTACAAATATATATATATGTTGATCACATTTGCATGAGCCATTTTTGACATATGTCAGGTTAAATTATAACTAAATTGCAAAGAAATTTTATAAAGATAGAGATCCTTATGGAACTTCTCTGCAAATTCTTTATAATTTAACCTGAGATATGTCAACAATTGCTCAAGCAAATGTTATCAATGTATATATATTTGGAATCAGAAAGAATAGATCTTTCATTTTATCGCAAAATATACAGGGTGGTCCCTTAAAAAAGTCGAAGTGGCTTACGTTTCTCCATTTTCCGATGCGATTTTGTTTTTTCTGATAACCTTATCAGAAAATATAGAAAAAAACTGTCAAGTTTTGTATTTAAAATTTTTTTCTATCTTAAATAGTAAAGGCTGTAAGTATGGTGCCAAATATAATCAAAATACCCTGTACATATGTATATGCTGTGGTAAAATTCTGAGATCTCATATGATATATTGTCTGGCTAGCGAAACGGCGAGCTGCAATAGAATTTGCTGCTTTGCCAAATTTGACGGAAACAGTGATAAACAAGTTAGTGACATATTTTTTTTTTGTTATGTGTGGTATTTTGAAATTAAAAAAAATCCGGCATCATTGCGAAATGATGGATGTGGAGAGGCGTGATTATTCAGAGGCATATGATTCTATTGGTTAGAGCCTAAAGTAAGAGCCTGAACGACAGCACTGTGACGTGGTTATTGGCGAAACTTTGTAATAAGTTTATTGGTTCATTTCCTTGGTGTTTCGGTGCCACTGAACCCAAAGACATGGCTGTCGCCGGATCTCAGTCTGCCCCCCTAGGGATAGTCATTTCGCTACGGCCCTGTCAAAGCAAAGCACATTGCATGATGTGCAAATAATAAGAACGGATTGCTATACGTAAGTCTAACTTTATTTGGTACGTTTTGCCTCGTCTTGCGCAAGAAGCGTTCTGCGTCTTTTTTTATGCAATAAAGTTTTCGTATTATTAGGGGAGAGCCGCCAACAGTGGCTACCTTTTTAAAGAAGCGCCTACTACTTTATTATCTGAAGCAATTTAAACACGTTTAATAATTTTTTACAAAGTAAATATATTTATCTTTAACCAAAATACATCATTTTTACAAAAACTATCATTTTGTTCTTGTGAATTTTGTGTTTTAATATTTTGATCAAATTGGCCACTGTTGGGGACATACTCCCACACTGGCCACCATTAACCTCAACAGTGGCCACCAAGAAATTTGAAAACAAAAAGTCAATATAACTTGTTTTTACTATCTAGAAAATAGCTAATAAACAAACGTAAGGGAAAAACTAAGTTGGTCTTTGAAAAAATTCCGTAGGAATATTAGAAGCGGTGGCACGGAGTTCCCAATAGCATAAATGGCTCCGACCATTGTGACTTAGGTTCCTCTTTCACTTGAGATGACTTGGCCCACTTGTTTTCGTCCCTTCTATGAAACGATTTTGTTTCTGCCTCGAACAGTAGTTGTCAATGCGGTTTAATCTGCATTCCAAATCTGAGATGGGTCATATTTATGCTTTTCATACAGTTGTTTTAAGTTTTCAAAAAAAATTCTGACCACAACCCCGTTAAATCCTACAGCTCCTGCTAGAGATGTAGCTTGAGCAGAACGTAGAGATACAGATGAGTTTCTTTTCATAAATCCTGTGAACCAGTGTTTTCCTGTGCTTTAATTGTCAACCCATGCTTGGGGGGGCATTCTTTGTTGTAATGTTTGGCCAACTCATGAGCAAAACTTCTTATTTGCCTTGCACAAGGCGTATGTCTGCGTTTAATATTGTATTTTCAGGTATTTTGCCATGACCCAGCTTTGGACGCTCTGATGCTGCCATACCCTGAAAAGAAAATAACTAACTGTGGCCACTCCTATAATTACCAGGTAGGTAGTGGCCATTGTACGGAACGCTGTAGTGGCCACCGTAGGGAACAACACATGTTGAATAAAAAAATTAGATTTTGTGCAAAAAAATAAATCAATTTGAGAAATTAAATATCGTTAAATTAGAGTCAAAGCACCACAGCTTTCATTAAAAAAATAATTTTTCGAAAATCATTTCACCAAAAAGTGTGAAAGCACTGAAAACTTACCTGAAAATCTACGTTTTCGCTCCGAATTTTCACATTCTCACTGTAGCTCATACAAAATAGAACTAATCGCCTCAGGGTTTTGCAAGTAGAATCGTACAACTAAACGCGCAATGTAAAGTGGTGGGGGCCTTTGACTGACAAAGTTTTTTCGAATTATAACAGAATGACCACTGTTCGGACCTGGCCACTGTTGGAGGCTCTCCCCTACCTCTTGGTCTGGTAAAATAGATAGGTCTATTTTGTTTTTTAAAATTCTTTTTCTACAAACGTCACTTAAAGTGTCATTTTTAACGGATGCTGTCACTGGTGTTGAAAGTGATTACTTTTAGCACTAGTGCCTTTTCTTTTACTTTGAATGAACAATTAGTTGTGAATCCACACTGCTAGTTTTATTAACTCCAAAAACCCATAGGTTATGGGTCCAGCTAAAAATTAGCAGTGCTAATGAGAAACAGAACTATAAATCGTCGAGAACATTGTTGTTGTTTTGTGGTGTCGTGTCCTGGAATTATTGTGTAATGGCGGCGTCAAATTCAAGCGTCAATTTCAATGTTACACCGTTTGATGGCACCGGGACTTTGGGAGTTTCGGGTGTAACTAGTCTTGGAACAGGGTGGTTGTTTAGAGGTTCTAACAACTAGACCACAGCTGATGCACTTACAGCATGGAAAATAGAAAAAAAATTTCTAATAATTTTATTGGTTTATTTCCTTGGTGTTTTCGATGCCACTGAACCCAAAGACATGGTTGTCATCAGGCGGTGTCAGTTAATATTCTTAGGGTACGCCCCACTTTTCTTCCCCCTTTTGTCTCTATCAAGTTACCACTTACCTATCAGACTATATTACTTACTCAATGCCTCAAGAATTTACCTGGCTGTTTGTTTTGTTTTAATTACTTCCAGCATATTATCAGCCAGACACTGGACAATAATATTTCTTGCCTTTACATTTTTTATTTTCCATGCTGTAAGTGCATCAGCTGTGGTCTAGTTGTAAGAACCTCTAAACAACCACCCTGTTCCAAGACTAGTTTCACCCGAAACTCCCAATTGGAAAGTCCCGGTGCCATCAAACGGTGTAACATTGAAATTGACGCTTGATTTTGACGCCGCCATTACACAATAATTCCAGGACACGACACCACAAAACAACAACAATGTTCTCGACGATTTATAGTTCTGTTTCTCACCAGCACTGCTAATTTTTAGCTGGACCCATAACCTATGGGTTTTTGTAGTTAATAAAACTGGCCTGGATTCACAACTATTCAATCATTCAAAGTAAAAGAAAAGGCTTTTTGTAGTCGACACGATGTTACAACAACGAACAAAACTTCTAGAACACAGTACTGACACCAGTAACAATTGTGACATGATAAAATCAATAAATCAGTTTCCACCTTTTCTGTTAACGGCTAACTGCGCCATTGAAGTTATGTGTTGTGTGTTGCATAGTATTGACGTGTCAAATTTGAATGAGCTGGTCAATGACGGCATCTAACAGCTGTTTTATTCAACACCCTGTACATACATTGTTTAATTGTTTATTTTTTACAACTTAAGGATTCCAAGGTCGAAAAAATGGACATTTTTGATAAAAATTACTGATGATGACTATTTTAGGACAAAAACGATGATTATTATAGTACCTATTTTTAATACCTATTTAGAAGTACCATTCGTTCTAGTGACGCTATACCTACTATAAATAGCGCTTTGAAAAAAATATAAACAAATTCCAGGTCTGTATTGAAAAAAATTAAGTTGATGATCGTTTCTCGTGAACGAAACGCGTCGTAGGTAAAATTTCAGAATATCACGTTGTAGAAGAACGGAAAAAACTATAAAACTTCCAAATTTAAAGTCTGTTTATAAAACCAACCCAACCGTTATCTAAATATTCAACAAAGCAGTTTATGATGATTTGCATAAACCGCCCTGTATTTTTTTAAACATAAAAGAAATTTTGTCCTCATTGGAAAATCTCTTTCTTGGGTGAGTTTTGGTATTACTTTTAATGCTAGATATTTTCTTTTGCAGCATCTCGTGGAAATATCATCTCTGACGATCCATTTTACATGGAATCCACCTCAGAGGAAAAAGAAATGTTAGTACTAAATGACCCTCATGCAGTGCAGAACGATATTCTTAACCCTCGAAGTAATTACAAGTGGGCGGTAAATAATAAAGTTCCTAAAAATGGCCGTAAAAACAAGTAAATATTTATAATAAAACCGTCTAATATCAATATAGAAACTGAACTTTTTAGAGTGAAAGAGACCGAGTTTATAGTAACTGAAACTGGTGAATTCCAGTGTCTTCAATGTGAATTTGATGTCACGAAGGGGCTACAGCGTAGGCACAAAATGGTTCAACATATTCTTAGTGAACACCGTGACGTCAAGAAGTTGCACCAGTGTCCCCATTGCCCCTTTAAGAGCCCATACGGTCTAAACAGTCACATTTTGTCTAAACATACCAGTGAGAAAGATATTCATTGGATTAAGTAAGTACTTTGTTATTCCTGTAATCAGTGTACCTAATCAAATATGTATCTATATGTACTTGCAATAAAAGTGCCGTGGTTTAATTCCAAAATTCACCATTTTATCAATGACTATAGCCATAATATACACATCGTCGTTTTTTTCCAATGCATGCATGCTGGAAAAAAGATAAAAAGACTTAAAAGGGTTCAAATAGATACCAACGGATATTTCAAAGCTGATTAGGAACAATAAGGAATTGCTGGGTGGAAACACAAAGGAAATATATTAACTGAGAACACTGGTTTCAACACTATCTGTTAGTATTTGTAAATGAAATGTTTCTCCAAAACCTCACAGATCTCAACACCCTGGTGGGCCTGAATCCTTATTCTTGAAACAGGGGAGCACGTTCCCAGGAGAACGAGTGTTCCGTCTTTCCCAATGATATGCAAATGATAATATAAGCAACAAAGACGGAACACTCGTTTTCCTGGGAACACTGCTCCCCTGTTTCAAGAATAAAGACCCTGGTGACAACACACGCTAGCATCTGTAAATATGCAGTCCGTGCATTGGCTTGCAGGTGGATTATAGGCTATCTTTACTAATCCACCTGCAAACTGGAAAACTTTTAGTGCACGGGCTACGTAAAATAAGGGTGTATGGGCAGTGTCAAAAATATGAAATTTTACAAATTTCAAAAGTATTTCCCATGTCAATATTTTTTTGGCTTTTTGGAATGGTGCATAGAAAAGTGATTTATAAATTCTTAAATAGAACATTCATCCCCGCCACTTTTTGTTTTAGTTCGTGACTACACCGCTGTGCGCCCATATCGCCGTTTCTTAACGTCCCCCTCGTTCTTATTCTAATCTCTGACTTCACCGATGAGTTAGCTATCTTTGTTTAGTGAATAGAAAATGACAATGACCGACATAGAATCGTCGTGTATATAAAAACCAGTCATAAAAACGCAGGTATCCATTTAACATCATAATGCAAATGTCATCTTGTCATCTGAATTAATTTGTTGAGTGCATTGTCGGTGATTGTTTTGAATTCCAAGACTGTGAAAGAAATGATAAGTGAATCATCATAAGCAGCCGGTTTAAGAGTTGTTGCCACAGTGTGTGACCAGGCGGCAAAAAAATGAATAAGCCAAAAGCGAATTGCAACCACAGACCAGGGAAATCTACAAAAAACAACACAGAAACAGAAATTTTGGTTTTGTTGGAAATAAACAACCTAGAAATCGTATCACTGAATGATGTTCCATACATGTTCGAGGGAATTATAAATAACTTGATCAAATATGACAGCCTTTTAACTGGAAAAAAATGGACATTTTCAAAAAGCAGATTGAAAAGTGCTCCAGTCAGCTCATGAGTCAGATACGCCAGATCATCTATGAATATATTATAAACTATTTTATTCTTCGAGTGATTCTCACATAAATATATGAAAATAAAATGAATAAAATTTTAGTTTATGAAGTTTTGAAGCACTGCCTTATTTTGAAATAATTGAAATGTCAAACCAGTCATTTAAAACCAAGATTCAAACGGCCCGCCAAATATTAGTTCAATGACTACACCGCTATGGCAGCACCGTCGGAAATGTCACTGGCCGACTACAACAGAAGTGAGCCTTCTATATCAAGAATATAAATCACTTTTCTATGGAATGGTGGCTCTTGCTTTGCTTTGAGAACTAGTCTTCAAAATGGCCGAAACCCAGATTTTAGAGGGTGTATTGTATTGGGAAATATATTTAATATAGAAATATGTAGTATGTTATATATGTTACTGTTAATATGAAAACTTGGCTAGTTTGTAAACTAGCTGGATAGTTTACAAACTAACCAACCCCTTGGCTATTTTGATAGAAAACGCAAATTTTACTAAAGTAGCTAGTTTACAATCTAACCAAAAGTCTTGGCTAATTTACTTGAAATTATTGAGGAAACTAAAATAGCTGGTTAGTTTATAAACTCAATGCAGTGTGGCTAATATAAAAACCATATTTTCTAGTACCTAACACAAAATAGCCAAACCTTTGGCTAGTTTACAAACTAGCCAACCAATTTTCTGGCTAATTTAAAAACAAAGTTAGGTTAAAGAATTTGAAGCATCTTTAATAGATCTGTATAATAATAAAGCAAATAATTCCCAACTTTACAACGAAGGAAATCTGGCAAAATATTAGCTTGTATGGACGATTTGTTTGATATTATTAAAGAATCTCACCAATCAACTGGGCACGACGAGAGACAAGTTACAACAAAGCTAATAAATCAAAAATATTCAAATATTACCCAAGAAATTATAACTTTGTTCCTCGATGGATGTGAGAATTGCACTGGCGTATCCAGGGGGGCGGGCAAAGGGGGCAATTGCCCCCCTCCCCCACCCCAGAGCAACATCTTTTTATTCCTTTTATTTTTTAGAAACTTGTCAAATAATAAAAAAATAAATTCAAAAATGTACTGAAATTAATTTAATAAATAATACTTTTTTCAACTACATGAACAGGTAGTGTATTATAACATACCCAGGTTCGCTCAGGACGCTCAGTAAGATTGAACGATGAGAATTTTTATTACCTTTTAACCAACAAATCTTCTGAAAAATTAAATGAAAAACAAATAGGACCTACGTTGTGAAAACTTACTCAAATTTACTTACTGGACATGCGCCCGACATAGCAAATATTTGGGAAATTTAAGGGAAGCTGTAATATGTAAAAGAAACGCAAAATTTGTGAAACGCCTCCTTTATTGTTAAAGATTTATTTCAACCTTGGCTTGGGTTAACTGAGGATTGTGTTTCTTAAGCATCCACTGTAGATGGAGTTAATAAACACTGGGTTAAGCAATAGTTGGTAGCATTATTGTTTACCAGGATGGTGATCCTAACATATTTTTGATTGGTCGAAAGCAGTCACGCATGAGTCGATCGTCAAATTAGCCCATTCATAACTTTTTGGAGTTTGTTGTTAAGTTGTTAAGTTAATGATAAGTTCGAATATTCTTTTTGGCGCACCGTTTTTTCATAACAATTTGTTAATTTTTGGAGAGCGTATGGTTAATGCAGTGTGTGTAGTCAATAGTCATGGAGCAGAAAGATAGGTATCGCAAGAGGAAAAGACTTCCTTGAATCAGAAAAAATAATAATAATCAAGCTATAATATAAGCGAATTATAGGGTGCAAGAGGTCAGACATGAACTTTTAATCCTTTTGTAGAGAAATCCTAGTCATCGTATTTCTCGAGAGGATTAATCCTTTAGCGGATTATATGAGGCGTTTTTGCTACGCAATTGTAGAAATCTTCATCTTCATCAATCAGTCCATATATTTCTATTTTGGAAAAAAAATATTACCACAAAATTGACAAATCACTAGATCACGGAAAAAAATTGTTTTTTCAGGTTATCTCAAGGGGTAAATCCATAAATCGCTAAACCCGCATTATCATCAACAGTGAGCCAATTTAACCCAAGGTTACACCAAGAGTTATAGCTAACTCGCTGTGGAGAAACGTTAACCCTGAAGTTATAATCAATCCGGAAATGACTCGCTATTGATAAACCGGCCCTAATATAATTAACGTATTTGATGGATACTTCTCATTGTTCTCATGTCGAGGGTAGCTAAAGTACCTAACAACGCTATAACACTGTTAAAAATAGGGTGAAAACTACATTAAGAATGCTTTAAAAAAATATAATTTTTCAAGGATTTTTACGCCATAAAATAACATTCGTGATATGAAACGATATTTTACTAAAATTGTGTATTTTTACTCAATAGTATCGTAAATATTCTACCGAAGAGTGTATTATTACGGTAAAATATGTAAAATCGCCTACTTATTTGTGAAATTCACCTAATTTTGGAATATTACCCGTATATTATCGTAATTTTTCGGCGAATCTCTTAATTTCACCACACGCTGCTGGGATACCTTGTGGCTTCTAATTGCTTTTCTTAAACAAGCAGAATCTTGGATTGGATTGTTAACTGAGTGAAGTATAAGTGGTGGTGTTAATTTTAATCGACCAGACAACACGGCTTCATCAATTGATCAAATGAAGGTAAGTAAATTCATAATGATTTGTTCCTATTGTAAAATGTATGTACTTCTTTTCAAAAATGCTATTTTTAGAGACATTGATGAAGATTGCATCGTTATTGGTAACCGTTCCCATGCGCTATTTGGAAAAATTCAGGATAGGAATAACTATTTGAACAAACGAGAAAGACCTGAAGATATAGAAAATCCAATAAAAAATTAAAAGCGTCGGGTTGTTGAAAGGGCGGGCGGGGTGCTCCTCATGGAACCCCGAAGTCGATGATCATACAAGCCCCAAGTATTAAATTCTACCGATCCTGAGCTTGAGGAGTTACTTACCTTAAATATTTTAGTAAATTTACTGTAATAATGAAGTAAAAATACATATTCATAAACCTACTTTTCCGACTTTTAATCGTGTTTTTACGCAAAGGCTTGATCACATGTACGTATTAACTTACGTTATATTCCGGTTCATTTTCTGTCAAGATAACAAAATTTTAATGTAATTTTCATGTGTAATTTTACGACTATGTGTGTAATTTTTCGGCAAGTTTATGTAAAAATACAATCGATGTAGTAAAATTACGTTGAATTACGGTTGTAATATAATTAAATAGTAATTTAACGTAAAATTACTAACTATTTTTAACAGTGAACTTTGCATGTGCAGTTTGTGCCCAATACTGGATTCCCTCCATCCAGCACAGGGGAGAACAAAAATGATACAAACAGAAAATCTCTCCTTACTTATCTTGTGTGAACCCCGAAAATATTTAGATATATTCGGAATGTTTTAGTTCATGAATACTCGACAGTGAGAATAAAAAAATTAATATAATTTTCATGTAAATCGACTTAAGGCCCACCCCACCACCCCTAAGTTGGAGGTTTTCTCTTTGAATCCTTTCATGTAGGGCATTTTCAATATAGTCACAACATTCTGTGTTAAACACAGATTTCAAATGTCCATTCAACATGTCTTTGTAATCTTACGAGTATTATTTGCTTCCTCAGATGTTAATTATTGCCGGTTTCTAGCCAAAAAAGGCGATATTTCACACGAATTCTATGAGATTTGTCATTTTTCAGATTTCATGACATCCGTCTGTGATGTAAGCTTTATTTTGAGACCAGATTTTCTAAAATCAGACAAAAATTGAAAAAGTCACGGGCAAATTAATTCCAGCACGACCTTTTTCGTAACACTATTACTAAGAATAGGGCAGTATTTCTAAAAGAATACGTAAGCTTAGCCACCCTGTATAATATATTAGGCTTATCTAGACTATTAATTTATTTGCGAAATAGAAAAAAAAATCCCGATATGTAGCTTGCAGTGCGTGCCAACATCAATAATTAAAAGGCTTGGCATAATGATTTTCAGACCCACTTTACTGGGTCACCCTGTATAGTTAGAGATTTGGCGCAATGATGAAAAATACTTATTTTCACTAGTACTACAACATACCAAATTTTTAAAAAAATCGACCGGTCCCCGAAAACCCATAAGATGTGTGCGATGTCCTTTGGGCTTAATCCCTCGAAAGCCGCAGGAGCTATAAAGAAAAAACTAAAAAATATATTGAAATTTCAACACCCTGTAGATCGGTAACGAAGCGATTGCAAACCCATGTTTCTTCGAAATTTTATTTAGTCATAAGAAAAAACCAAAGAATCGCCCCCTTCCGTTTGTACATGCATGATATTTAGTATTAAGGAACACCCTGTATATATACCAATATTCATATTTTAGTTATTCCAGTGTGAATTTTTTTAGTAATTTAAAGTATTTATTATACAGGATGGGGCACGAAAAATGTCCCACCCAGGTTTTCTCAGGTCTTAGGTGATCGATCAAAAATCGCTCGAACACGTCAATTTTTCTTTTTCGGGGGACACATTTCATTGGTATTTTCACTCCCTACTTGTCAACCCCTAAGCGGGGGAAACAGGTATCTCTAAAATTTCAAATGCAAAAGGGGGTCGAGTGATACGTCATTTGGTAGCTATTTTTGTAAGAATTATATCCTCAAAGTTTTAAGTTGCTTTTATTTTCTCTACCGAAATGGCAGTGTGTCAAAGTAAGGGAAAATGATTTTTCCGAGTATCTGAACTGTGTGATTTTTATCACATAATAACAAAACAACAGATTTTTGAAGGGTACCTCTATCCATAGTAATAAAATAACATTGGCATTTAATCTAAGTATCGTCATTCAACAGTTCAGTTCAAAATGGTTCATGTTTATTCACTTGAAAAATATGTTAATTTGTTAATATAAGGTAAAAAACACACAGCTTTGACAAGCTATTTCGACAGGGTTGATAGTAGCAATTTGAAACTTTGTGGATATAATCTTAATAAAAATAGCTAACAAATGACGCATCACTCGACCCCCCTTTCCATTTGAAATTTTGGGGGGTACTTGGTACCTGTCACCCCCGCTTAGGAGTTCACAGGTAAGGGGTGAAAATATCAATAAATAAAGTCCCTCAAAAACAAAAAGTGATGTGTCCGAGCGATTTTTGATTTATCACCTCTGACACCTGAGGAAATCTGGGTGGGAAGTTTTTCGTGCCGCACCCTGTATATCTTTGACTTTTGAATTAAATTTTAGTTTGATTTTATGTTACACATGTTACCTACTTGTTTCTTGAAAGTCGATTTCTCAGAAAAACCAATAATTCCAGTTATCAACCTCTTATCGTTATAATGAGCAGCCCAAAGATTTTTTCAGTGGTGGCTGGCAGGTTAATATTACGGAACCATAGCACTACCTTATTTTTTTGTGAAAATATTATATATTTTATCCTACAAAAGTATTGAGAGAAGCGAGCGAATACTCGATTGTGTGGTTTTGAAGACTTTTGGGCGTGGCACCTCAAAAAAAATTTCCTCCTATGGCGGACATACCAGGTTTGCCCCCCCCCCCCCGCCCCCCCAGAACCTCAGGCTGAATACGCCACTCTCAGAATTGCCAGGTAAAAAAAAAGCAAAAGTTTTCATTTCACTTATCTCTAATTTATCGAATAACAAATACTTACCATGGACATTAAACTTTATTTGTAAATTAGCCATAAAATTGGTTGGTTAGTTTACCAACTAGCCAAAGTTTGGCTATTTTGTGTTACTAGAAATCATGGTTTGCAAATCGCTGTGGCTAGAATCTCGGTACCGGTAACACATTTTTTACCGGTAGTTTTGATGACGTCGCCGATATGACGCACTTGTACCGGGATTCAAGTGAATCCCGGTGTTTTGATTTTGTTTTTACTGTTATTTATCATCTGATTGGTATTTTAGGTTAGTTTATTAATGTTTTCGTCACTTTTTTGAAACAATTCAAACTATAAAAGTTAGTTTAGGGTCGCAGAACCTTATATAAATGATTTGTGTTCGGAAATGTCGAACAACTCATCCCAGATTAGAATAGAGAACTAGGGTTGTTATCTCCGAAAACCCCTGAGAATTTAAACAAATTTGAGATGATGTCACTTTATATAGCAGTTTATAATCGAATTTAATATTTATTAATTTACTTCAAGCTAATATATGTAAATATACTAATTATGATGTAAATTAAAATAAATATCTCTCATTTTTTATTTATAAGTTTGCAATCAGAACAATACGACATTTTGGAAATTTTACACAAACTGGCACATTTCACATGTCAAAGTCTCTTCAACTTCTTTATAACTTTTAAATGTTTGTCCTACATTAAAAACCATTTTAAAAGTAATATCACGTTGATAAACTCACAAAAACATTCCACTTTACGTTCACACATCAATAAAACAAGTTCAAAACATAAAAAGTTAGGTTAAGTTGGACTTTGATAAAACAAAAACCGCCAACGACTACATTTTTTTACCGGAATTTGCTTAAATCCCGGGTACCCAGTGCGTCATATGGGTTACGGCATCAAATTTACCGGTAAAAAATGTGTTACAGGTACCGGGATTCTAGACACAGCGTTTTCAAATTAGCCAGACTACATTGGATAGTTTATAAACTAACCAGCTAATTTAGTTTTCTCAATAATTTCAAGTAAATTAGCCAAGACTTTTGGTTAGTTTGTAAACTAGCTACTTTAGTAAAATTTGCGTTTTCTATCAAAATAGCCAAGGGGTTGGTTAGTTTGTAAACTATCCAGCTAGTTTTCAAACTAGCCAAGTTTGCATATTAACCGTAACATATACACCTAAGGATTGGAAGTACCACTCTAGTTCCTGAAAACAGGGATCAAATATACTAATTTAATCCTCGTAATTCGTAGTGCATAAATATAATGTTTGTGTAACCGGTCGCGAAATGAGTTTTCGCTGCCGCCGTTCAGTCCGCGAAACTCCCTTTTCTTTATGTGAAAAATCCATAGAAATCTGCCACCGGGCTCTATAGCCATAGTTCTTTTCACGTGGCTCCGGTTTAAACTAACCGGGTTACAAAACGGTTAGAGAAATGACATACCGTTGTCTAACCCGGTTACAAAGTGACGTGATGGATACCTACCACTCGAATTTGAGCGGTATGTTGCGGTTTGTTAAACTGGAGCCACGTGAAAAGGGTTTATGTATATCGAACTCGTGGTTGGTTCCCGATGTTTTTTCAAACAAATTGACTGTTCAAAGAAATACAATTTTTTATAATTTTTGTTGGAACTTACACGTTTCAGGCAGAGTAGTAGTTGAAATTTAATTTTTCAAAGCATCCTATTTTCAGGTGTGATAAGTGTGATTATAAATGCAAGAAGAAACATCAATTGAACAAACATTCGATAGTTCATTACAACGATGGGGATTTGCCACTGATAGAATTATTGGAAAAAAACAAGTGTACCATATGCGAGAAAGGCTTTAAAGGTTCAGATACCCTAAAAAAGCATATCCAACAAATTCATAAGAAACAAAAGCCCAAGCTTCATTGTGATCATTGCGACTACACAAATCCTGAAAATTTTTTTTTACAACGCCACATTGAGGGTACATTCCAAGTAAGTTGAGAAGGGGAATAGTTCACTTATTTTTCCTTGTTTTAGTAACACATACTGATTCTAAACATCTCAAAATTCATCGTTGCCAAAAATGCAGTTACGGAACCAAATTTATTCATCGTTTAGATTCACATATGAGGGCTCAACATTCAACTCGGTAAGTAAAGTTCGTTTCACCAGGGTTTATACTTGACCTTGAAACTTGCAAAAAAAAAGGGTGGTCCTAGATTAATTCATATGACACATTCAATTTTTTTGACAAATTAAAATGAATGACTTTTGGTTTAAGAACCGACGAACGTTTTTGACATCATTGATTTGTTTCAGTCAATTTTTATTTGTTAAAGAAGGAAGGCAAATGCTGGTGGCAAGTACAAACCCTGGTGAAACAAACTTTAAGTAGGTACCTAATTTTAAAATAAACCTTTTTTACATGTTTGTATTTATTTTTTTTAGAGTAGTTTGTGAAATATGCGGATATACATCCCATTCAGCAACCAAGTTGAGGCTTCATCAAATAACTCATCAAAAAAAGATTGATGAAAAAGAATTGAAATATCGATGCCATAAATGCGATTATAAAACCTACCGGTTGTATAGTTTCAAGGTAAGTTAATTTCTAACCAATACTTATAATTATTTTATAAAAAAATTTCAGATTCATAAATTAAACCATCTAAAACCCAGTCAAATCAAATATTTCTATTGTTACCATTGCGATTTCAAAGGAAAGCGCAAAGATAACCTGAAAACGCACATCCTGAGACACTTTAAAAAGGAAGAGGTGACCCTAAAGTGCTACTTATGTGAGTTTTCAACAAAAAAAAGACAATCGTTGACTGATCATCTTAGCATGAAGCACACAAATAAAAATCAATAATCTTTGCTAATTTAAGATGCCCATAATTATCTTTTAATATAGTATTATTTTATCACAAGATTGTTTTATTTATTATTTCGAAAGGTGAGAAAGATTAAAGGAAAGATAATGAAATAATAGTGAAGAGGTTCATATAATATTGTCACAGATTCCGCAAGGTTGATCCAACAGCCCTGCCCGCGGTTATTTTTCAGGTCGGTAGGAAGCGGGAGGTAGCAAAAAGGTGGAGCGCGATGTTTAGTCTATCTCTTTATTGAAGTAGGGCGAGACCTCGGCGAGACTATGAAGGAATATTTTAATCCACGCGACAGGTCCGGCCGCAGAACAGCGAACATTGGTGTTAGTTACTGTTGAATATTTTTTATCGTTTACATATTTATAAAAAACGTTTTATTTGAGACTTATTGGATATTACGCTATTGTTACTAGGTAATAACTATATTGATTAAATAGTACACTTAGGTAACTGTTTTAATCTTGTTTACGGCTCAGTAGACCTGCCCCCCCCCCCCCCCTCCCAGTTGATAATTTTTATCCAAAACGCTAGCCCTCGTTCTCCAGAGCAAGCGCAACCTAGCGCAACTTTTTCGAAAGCTAGCGCAGCTACAGGTCAAAAGATATGTGGCTTTATACCTATTCGGGGGGGCTAGGGTGACGCTAGCCCCCCCCCCCCCAGTTATTCGATCTTCTCAAAAATGCTGGCGCACATTCGTAACACCTGTAGTATAGTCCGACAAATACCATTTTAAAGTCACGTGATATTGGTGGCAAAAAACGTATGTTCGTTGATTATGTCGTTGATATCACCTACAAAAAGCTACTTGTGGTTAATTACTATTGAATTTTAAGATATGTTCCCACTAGCATTTTACAAACGCGTTTCTGAAGTAGTATTGACCAATCGGATGAGAATTTTAATACTTGCAATTGTTGTGAGACTCACTTTTGTCGTATCTGCTGTCCATTGGAATACATTCTGAACTTGAATTAATTGGGTACCCGATTTCTATTTGCTTGTTTTCGAGTTGGAAAAAGGTTACTATAGTCAAAATTATTAGCTGTGTTTGTTCGCTGTATCATTGTCGAAAATAACTTTGACAAACTAATTGATGACAGTGACGGATTTTATTTCAGGTAAGAATATTATGAACAATAATTAGACACCATTTTTTTTGTCAATTTTGCTATCACCGCTGTTTGAGATGTATTCAACAAGGATAGAGAAAAATCATGTGACTTTAAAATGGTATTTGTTGGATTATAGATGTGGATGTATTATAATGAGTTAAGAAATAATATTTAGAGTTAAGTAAAGTAAATAAGTAACATACGGTATATAATAATGTATAATATCTAACTAGGTTAATAATGTCCTGCGTCAGACATGTTATGATGATAGGATAATTATTGTTATACTAATATATTTATTATTGTAAACTTGTACTAAATTTGGGGAATTAATAGAATAGAATGATTTTTGATACGAAACGAAACTAGTCTTGAATTATTGAAATTGCCCCAAGTCCCGATCATCAATCATAATCAGAATTTGGTAAAAATACTAGATAGGTTACGGCAAGTTAACTTGAAATTGAATCCAAAAAAATGTGACTTTCTTAAGCAAGAAATATTATATCTAGGTCATCTAATATCGAAGGAAGGGGTAGCTCCAGATCCCGAAAAAACTAAGGCAATTTTAAACTTTCTGGTTCCAAAAGACGCAAATGAAACCAAACGTTTCGTGGCATTCGCTAAGTACTATAGGAAGCATATAGCAAACTTTGCGGATATAGCTTCACCTCTCAATTTTTTAAGTAAAAAAGGGGTGCCATTTAGGTGGGATTCACGTTGCCAGCAGGCCTTCGAAGGCTTAAAGCAGGCATTAATGAACCCCCCCGTCTTGCAGTACCCAGATTTTTCAGAAACAAACACATTTATTCTCAAAACCGACGCTTCAAATGTGGCATTAGGAGCAGTCCTGTCTAATGAAAATGACAAACCTGTAGCGTATGCCAGCAGAAGCTTAAATAGTCATGAAAGAAATAATCCAGTCATAGATAAAGAACTCTTAGCGATTTGCTTTGCAGTGAAAACCTTTAGAACTTATTTATATGGGAGAAAGTTTACTATATATACGGACCATAGCCCTTTAGTTTACTTATTCGGCATGACTAACCTTTCCAGTCGGTTAACAAAATTCAGATTACTTTTAGAGGAGTACACGTATGAAGTTCGATATTTGAAAGGTAAAACTAATGTGGCAGCAGACGCTTTATCCCGTATCACAATCTCATCGGATGAGTTGAAAAATATGTCAAATAATGTATAACGAGAAAGCAAGCCACATCTGTTGACGATAGCAGTTTTAATAGCACTGCCCACGAAAGACTTGATCACCCTGGAGTGGTGGAGCTAAAAGTTACGTTGAGGCTTACGTCACATCAGTAGAGGATTTTAATAAAAACATAGGCAATAGTATATTACATACCGAGTAGGGAAGTGTTTCATTACTTTCGAGAGATTCATAGTCAATCGAGACGCGAAGCGTCGAGATTGACTATTAATCTCGAGACAGAAATGAAAACTTTCCTCCGAGGTTTGTATACTATTTTATTTGCAAGCACACAATTAATTATAATTAGTCAATCAGTTTTTTTGATATTAAAAAAATAAAACAAACATGCCAAAATGTGTCATTCACTGCTTTGACGTTTTTACCTGCCATGTTCTCATTGTTGCCAGCAAGGGTAAATAAATTAGAGTGACGGAAATCGGTGAGGGAAGTCGAATAGGGAAATCGGTGAGGGAAATTGAAGAGGGAAGTGACACAGGTAAAGTGTCACTTCCAAATTTTTAAAAAGTCAGTAATGACAAGATTACATATATGATTGCAAATAAAGATAATTACTGTTTACAATATGTCATTTATTTGAAAAAAGAAAACGCGATTATATTTAAGCAAACTCGATCAGCGTTAGCATCTGGTGCATCGCTGAGAGACTTAAAAGAAATTTGCGAAATGTTTCAAATTCCGGAAGTAATTATATTAAAAAATACTAGCAATAAAATTTTGACTGAAAATATATTTAGGGATCCCATAATAATTAAGAATATGAATTTGAGATTATCAATAATATGAAATGTGCAAAAAGTACAGGGTAAGGAAATGCGACAAATAATTTTAAACGATTTTCACATTCTGACAAGTGGGGGGCATGCAGGTATGAACCGCATGTACAACAATATCAAAAAATTCTATTTTTGGAATGGCTTGCAAAAAGATGTACAAGATTTTGTCAAACGTTGTGATGAGTGTCAGAGGTATAAACATTCAAGGCCTTATGTGGAGCCTATGACAATCACTACAACCGCGTCGTCAGCTTTCCAGAAAGTTTTTTTAGATCTTGTTGGCCCACTACCAGTAGACTACGATAATAACCAATATATACTTACACTCCAGTGTGAGTTAAGGAAGTTTGTGGAATGCTACCCAATTAATAATAAGGAAGCAATAACAGTTGCGAAAGCCTTTGTTCAAAATTTCATTTTACGTTTCGGTGTCCCACAAACAATTGTTTCGGATCAAGGTACAGAATTTATGTCGAAAATTCTAAAAGAAATTTGCAAAATTCTCAAGGATCAACAAATTTCTTCTACAGCATATCACCATCAGACTTTAGGAAGTTTGGAGAACACTCACAAAAATTTAGGCGCGTTCTTAAGAATGCAAAGTGATAAGTTCCCAGATTCCTGGAGTTCTTGGGTACATTTTTAGAGTTTTGCTTTCAATACTACGGTTCATACGGAAACGAAGTACACCCCTTACGAGTTAGTTTTTGGGAAAGTTTGTAGTTTACCTTCACAGATAACACGCCAAATTGATCCTTTATACAACTTTGATAGCTATCCGCTAGAATTAAAGTTCAGGTTGCAGCAGGCACAAGCAGAGACAAGAGATAATTTGATAAAATCGAAATTGAAAAGGAAAACCAAATATGACGAAAAAACTGAAACAATAGTGTACAAGCCAAGGGATAAAATTTTAATAAAAAACGAAGTAAGAACTAAAATGGAGGCGTTGTTTAACGGGCCATATGTAGTTATTGAGGATAGAGCTCCAAATATTTTGATACGTATAGGGCATAAGGTTAAGGAAATACATAAAAATAGAATTAAGCCATATTTTGAGAAATAGATACTGTATAGGTATTTACTCACAATTAATGATATAGACATAGACAATAATTAATGTATAGATGTATGATTAGACTTTTTTTTTTCATTTTTTTTTTTGTTTGCGTAGGAGGTGTAGTAGATGTGGATGTATTATAATGAGTTAAGAAATAATATTTAGAGTTAAGTGAAGTAAATTAGTAACATACGGTATATAATAATGTATAATATCTAACTAGGTTAATAATGTCCTGCGTCAGACATGTTATCATGATAGGATAATTATTGTTATACTAATATATTTATTATTGTAAACTTGTACTAAATTTGGGGAATTAATAGAATAGAATGATTTTTGATACGAAACGAAACTAGTCTTGAATTATTGAACTTGCCCCAAGTCCCGATATATTACACACCTAGCGCAGCCTAGCGCAAGTTGTGTCATAGCTAGCGCAGCTATCGTAGCTGTCATACAGGGTGGACAAAAAAATCATGAGCCACTACAAGTAATTTTTAATTTTTCAAAATTATAAATGAAGCTTCCTTAAAGCTAGCGCAGGTTAAATTCGAGCAACCGCATTACCCCTTTAAAACATACACACATACAGGTATTTATTCGGGAGGCGGCTAGAGTGCCGCTAGCCCCCCCCCCCCCAGTTGTTAAATCCTTTCCAAAATGCTAGCGGAAGTTCTTGACACTTAGCGTAAGTTGTGTCGTAGCTAGCGCAGCTATAGTAAGTAAATGTTATACAGGGTGAACTATGAAATCTTAAAAAATGTCGCGAGCTCCAAGACAAGATTTAACGTTTACAAGCGCTATATAT